ATCTGCATTCTTCCTTATTCATCTTGTTGTCAATGATTTCACATGTTGAGTGATAATATAATGGATTATTGCAGTTATGATGATGATTTCATTGAAGCCGCGATTGCTATTCTTAGACTGGACTTTTGTATGCGCAGATGAAGTCGTACCATCTTTATCGTCAATTTTTAACTTGTTCCATCTGCTGCTTGCAAGTCTGCAGCTGCTTGTCACCGAGCAAAAAAATCTGCATCCTCGCTTTCTGAAAGATTTTTTAGAAAAAAGGAATATCTAAGAAACAATATCTATGCATTCAAACCTGGAACCGCAACCAATGGGTAAGCAAATGCCAGCTACTTGGTGCAGAATCTCTGGCAAGTCTAAAACAATTTCACTGATTTCTATCTAGTATATCTGGTAAACTGACCTTTGCAAGGAATGATTAAAATTCTGACCTTTGTTCGGGTTCACGTTTTACTGCCTTTGAATATGCAACTATAGTGGAAGATGGAAATAGTTCAGGCCAATTCTTATTTTCTTTTACCCTGTTGCAGGATTACTGGTCTGAGCGTAGAAGGGGATTTGATTTCACCGATTATCCATCTTCGTCTGATTAAAGAAAATTCAGAAAAGTCGCGTCAAGAGCAAGAAAGGATTCTTCAGAAGATTGTCGATGAGGTTTGTGGATATGGCCATTAATGATCTTTATAAAAACTCTAGGGTATATCATTTAAGGCCCTGATCGCGTTTTTCCTAATGTGGCCCTGGAATGCTCTGTAGTATAATGTTGTAAGGAATTAGTAGTGTGACCCATACAGGCTCTTGAATAGCACACAAAGCCCTTTTGAGCGCGAAGTTCTTTTGTTTTCTCTTCAGTATCTAAGTTTTGAACGACAACATGTAAAATTGACTAATTTATTTAGGTAGTTTAAAGAAGAAAGATTTGGTCGCTTTTTATAAGGTTTTGATCATTTCGCAGGCTCTTGAAGATGGTGTTGCTTTGACATTGGCTAGATATCTCAACGACCAGGAACTTCATTTACCCTCGGCAAGGTTTGTTTATTACCCAGGCTTTTGTAGTGTTGACTAGACAACCTATAGAAATTGTATATCTTAGATTCATCTGTAGAAAGACCAGTAGAGAACCTACTAGTGAAGTACTCAGCAGTTTGCATAAAATCATACAGCTAGGGATACCAGTGCAATTTTCCTGGATTATGACCCACATTTTTAATCTTGTTTTCAACAGTAGCATCTTCAGCTTTGCCCAAGTTAAAGGCAATCTGTCACGACATTGATTGATTATAAGAGCAAAGGGATTATTTATTGTTTCCAGTCCCCCTTTAATTTATCGCATTGTAAAAAAATATGGCGGAGCGCTGGAATTGTGTTTAGGCTATTGTTCCAGCTATTGTTCTCGTTAAACAATCGACAACGAGACAGATTGCCTTTAAATAAGTACACACACCAATTAACAATCTCTCTTATTTCATGTAATTCAGAGCTGATCTCTTTTCAGCATCCGCATAACGGTCAACAGTGAACTTTCATCTGAAGACATCACTGAGAGTGCGGAAAAAATCAAACTGGCCGCCAAAAACGTTCTTGTTTAGGCCACTGGATGTTTTTAGAATAGAAGAGAATGCAAGTGTTATAAACTGAAAGCGGACTTGTCAATCTATCGTTGTATTTGTACCTCTGTCACATACATGTTTAATCTTTTTGCGAGGCTTCTAGTAGAAATTAGCATTTACTTTTAAAATCATGACTTTGCTTTCCCACTGCTGTAAAAACTCGGAAAATTTTAGAGAAGCATGTAAAACATTTCGACAAAAAGTGTTGGTGTCTCTGCGATTTACGACCAAAGTATTTTTTCTTTTGATTTGGGGATAGCTGCTGCCTTGCGTCCCTTACGATTGATTTTTAATGAGCGAGCAGAAATATTGAAGTTTCCACCGACTAATTTCCAGCAAGTTAACTTCCAACGAGTTGCGTAAAAGAAGTAGATTTATATCCTTATTTGATTCAATTGGACTGCTTGACTCTATAAACAAATATTGGATGTGATAAGACAGGGGTCTTATTAAGACATTTTAGCCACCCTTTCACAAAGTTGTAAGTTTTTTACAATGGTATTTCTTGAATACCTGCCATTTTTCTTGAACTGAAGCGAGTATAATGTAGAAAGAGAGCTGCCACCTTTCAAGGATTATGGCTCTGGAGAGAAAATCTAATTTGTTTATTTACGTGCTAAAGATGCCTGCTATAAATAGGTTATTGTTATTATGATGGCTCGTTTATAATTTTTGTTGCTTTAGTTTACCCAAAGTCGAAGAAATTATTTATTTTTGCATAAAAGTTTTTATTTTATTTTCTTTACCTATATACATACTCTTTTTTAGAGGAATTTAATCAGGATACGAGCCACAGAATTTGTCTAAAGTTAAGAATAAATTAAGAACAAGCTGAGGCTGAGGTACTGTAAGAAGTGATAAAGGCCCTTGAAAATCCCGTTTAAGACGGAGGAGTTGTTTTTTGCCATTTATGGGTGACTCTGTGTGACTATGGGTGTCAGTAATTTAATTTACATTTCTTATACAATCATAGACAGTGTTATTTATTTTTGTTATGCAAATGTAATCAAAATTATGTATTTATCAATTATTACTTAGCATTTGTGAAATTTATGTAAATTATTTATAAAATAGAGTTATAATAAAATCATATGAAGATTATTAGATGCAGCTTCTGTCTCTTGTGAAATGTTAAATATTGTCTTTGTGGCAACGTTTTCAGATTACAGCAAGTTATCGCGAGCGTTTAAAGGATTCTTGTGTGTCATATATGATAAGGAGTCTTTTTTAATGTATTAGCCAATCACAAGTGGCCTGGGGCTAGAGAACATTTTCTTGCTAATATGACACAAATAAACCAAAGGCGCAGATAACTAAAGAAATTAAGTCGATACTTGAAATGAGTTTACAACTACAATAATCATTGTAAATGAAATCGTATCTTTAAAATATGAACCAAAAAGACTAAAACTTTAAAACGAACAGCACATATATTCCTAAAAGATTAAAATCACGTATCTCAATATCCATAAGAAAAAATACGCAAGGGCCAATGATGGTCCCTTCATGAATCGAGTTCTTCGTAAAGCTACTATGCTGCGCTCTAGGTTGAAAAATAGATATAATAAAAGCCGCACAGCTGAACATTGGGAAGCGTTTCGTCGACAGCGTAATTTGTGTGTCAAATTATTTAGAACGGAAAAAAGAAATTTCTATAAAAATTTGAATACTTCTGATATTACAGACAACAAGAAATTTTAGAAAACTGTAAAACCTGTCCTTTCCGATAAAAGTCGATCGAACTCAAATATTACCCTTATCGATAATAATAGGATGATTTCCAATGATAAGGAAGTTGCAGAAGCCATGAACGATTATTTTATATCGATTACTGACTCATTAGGTCTGACAGGGAACAGGGAGGTTACCATAAGTACAAATGGTTTATCAGATCCTATAGAAAAGGCTATAATGAAATATTCAAAACACCCTAGCATTAGGAAAATTCGCAGTTTTGCTCGAATTAACGGCTACTTTAAATTCCAAGAGGTTACTGTGGAACAGATGCACTCTGAAATTGAGGGGCTTAATCCTAAAAAGGCAACAACCTTTGGAAATATACCCGCGAGAGTGCTGAAAAATAGCTCTGACATTTGTTCCGAATCGTTGCAGCTTATTTTCAATAACTGCATTCAAAATGGTGTCTTTCCTGACCTATTAAAACTAGCAGATGTCACTTCCCTCCACAAATCGGAGGAGAAATCCAATAAGAAAAATTACAGACCGGTTAGTGTATTACCAACTGTTTCAAAAGTTTTTGAGAGACTTATGGATAAACAGATTATTGATTATATGCAATCTTATTTATCGTCACTTTTATGTGGTTTTCGTAAAGGGTACAATGTGCAGCACGCATTAGTTCGAATGCTTGAAAAATGGAAAGCAAGCTTAGACAGGGGAGAAAATGTTGGCGCAATCCTTATGGATCTCTCGAAAGCCTTTGATTGTATTAAACATGACCTCCTTATAGCAAAACTAGATGCTTATGGATTCAGCCATGAAGCACTGTGTCTTGTTAACAGCTACTTGGAAAATAGGCATCAGAGAGTTAAGATTAATGGATCATTCAGTACCTACAAACAATTGTTCCTTGGTGTTCCGCAAGGATCAGTTCTTGGTCGTAGTTTCTTAGATCCCCTCTCCTCACTATATACTTAACTACCTCTACATAAATGACTTACTTCTCTCCTTAATGGATACGGATATCTGCAATTAGCGCGGATGATACAAATCTTTATATGCGTGCGATAAAAATTCTCAATAATGTAATTGCAAGGGGTAGAAGAATGACTCAAGTTACAACTATCCAATGGTTCGCTGATAACTTTATGAAGTTGAATACAAACAAATGTCATTTACTTATTCTTGGCAAAAGTTCTAATCAACAGGTTAAAGTTAATGTAGTAGGATTCTAACTGCATAGAGGATTTCTCGCAGCAAAGAGGAAAAGCTACTAGGTGTTGTGATAGACAAAAAACTCAGTTTTGAGACACATATCAGTAAGTTATGTAAGAAGGCTGGTAGCAAACTCACCGCCCTCGCTCGCATATCTGGATACATGGACGCTAATAAACTTAAAATCTTAATGAGAGCATTTGTAATTAGCCAATTCGAATATTGTCCACTAGTCTGGATGTTCCATAGTAGGCACTTGAATAGTAAGATTAATAGAATACACGAAAGAGCTCTGAGAATTGCATACAAAGACTATGATTCTAGCTTCAACACTCTGCTAGAAAATGATGGCTCGGTAAATATTCATGTAAAACACCTGCGAAATCTTATGATTGAAATGTTTAAAACAAAGGGAAATATCAACCCTCCTTTTATGAGGGAGATTTTCTGCGAGCGTCATGCTGTTTATAATTTGAGAAATAATAATGAATTTATGGCACCAAGAGTAAGAACAACCATTTATGGAACCGAAACTATCAAATATAGAGGGCAGCGTCTTTGGCTCTCTTTACCTCAGCACATAAGGAATGCTCAATCTATTAATGAGTTTAAGAAAGAAATTAAAAGCTGGAATGGCACAGACTGTACATGCAAACTATGTAGGACGTTCGTGCCACAACTTGGTTTTTTGTAATTCTATCTTTTAAATAGCTCAGGTTTTTATAGTTTTTTAATGGATCATTTTGTATTTAAAATTTTATGTATTTAATCTCGTATGTATTTAGTTGATGTAGTAGTTTTAACAGTTGGCTTGGATTAGCTCATTTCTTTGTAAATAGCTATGTAGCGCCAACTTTAAATAAATTGATTATTATTATTATTATTATTATCCATATTGATCTTGGAAGGCAAACATAATCATGACATTGTCAAATTTTCCGAAATTGAAATATTTAAAAGCTTTTATTAAATGATTTGGATAGAAATTCAATAGTAAAATATGCACTATAGTGGAATCCCGCTATTACGAGCCCTGCATACAAACTTCGCACTGTAACGAAGCCTGGTCTCTTGGTAAACCTAGGTATAAAGAGCTCCAAGTAAAACTAACCCTCGGTATAGCGAGCTGCCACTATTACGAGCTGTTTTCTTGATCCATAGAGAGTTTGTAATAGCGGAATACAACTATTTCGATGAATAGAAACTCTCTTCTGCTAAATTGTGAATATAAAATTCTTTGATAATACGTAGAGCCAACTTCTTATAGTGCACGTGGCTCAGTGTCGGTTTCCTAAATTCATCCAGGGCCTATTTTATTGTAGTTTTCCCAGCTTGCACATTGTTCGCTTTGGCAAGTGTCTCTTATGTTTTTAATTTTGATACGTATCGAATCTCCTTAAAATCTGTCTTTAAGATTTTTGGCTTTCTACAGCTCTGTATCATATGTAAAGGAGCAATTCACTTACTTCTTTGATATGTTAAGAGGAACTCACTTACGTTCTCGATGAGCAATGCCCGGTGAAGCCAACAACAAAGATATTGCGTTGGGTATCAGTATCAATTGGACTTGGTATCATTTGGCTAGCGCTTCAAAAATCCTTGTCAGCCTTAGCTGCTACCTTACTGAAGTGATAAAGCCTAAGAAACAAGGTAACAACATTGTCAAATGTGGCAGCCCCTATTGTCAAACTGTTCACCCTTTGAGTAGTAATGCATCGTTTTTGTAAACCCAATGGTAGGGACTTGAATGAAAATGTCTATTCCCGTGACATTGTCATTTTAAGGGGAATTCATTTTATCAGTCCCTTTGATAATTGTTGTACCCACAACGGACATGTGCGATGTCTACCAGTAACTATTTGCCATATACTCTGAGGCTGGACGGGGATGGGGTTTGGTGGATTAAATAAACAGGGGGGGGGGAGTGGCTGCAAATTCCAAAATTTCAATAAACAGGAGGGTCGAATTCAATAAACGCAAAGAAAATTAAAGAATAAACGGGGCGTTTATTTCCGACCTCAAGACAGAGGAGTTAGTTAAAACCTGCCAATTTTCCTTTAACGCCTTCTTTTCATCTAACTACACAGATGGGAACAAGCAGGGGATTCCATGGGGGCAAGAAGAACAAATTAATAGGTTATCTTTTTATATCAGTGACGTATGAACACAGAGTTGAAAAAACATAGCATTTAGACAATTTTTAGGAGTATGCCATATGCTGGATGTGGGAACAAAACGACTAATCTTAAAGACTCTTGGGCAACCGGCATGCTTTGCGGTAGCTGTTATTGCACACGAGACGACATGGGCTGTATTTTGTACTTTCATGCAGCACGATATCAGGCCGGTTTTGAAAATATAGCTGCAAAGCATGCCGGTTGCGCAACAGCCTTTGACTCTACGAGCTACTTATCGATATAACAAAACACAATTACTTCGCTTTTCAGGTCAGATTATCAACATACATTCAATCTAATTAGGGGCAACGGAAAACCCCGATTTCGTGCAATACCGCTACAAGCAAATTTTATCGATTCTAAAACGGGGAAGGGGGTGGAAATAAACTCTCCACTAACCCCTCTTGTCCCCAAAGTGCCAAAATATTGCTCACGCTGATTTACTCGTGGATAATGATTTAATCTTTTATGTAATCTAGAAGTTTATATGTGAAAATTTGGGTTTATTTAATTATTTTATTTCGAAAACCGTTGAGGGAAGCAGTGGCCCCCTGTGGTGCAGACCCTGTTTTCACGCCAATTTTATTCTTACAATCAATTTTTGTAACAATCTATCATCATCAGCCTGCAGTTAAGAAAAATTTGCCCAAACAGCTTCGTACAAATCAAGCCAATATTGAAAAAATAAACGATTGGCGCAGAGATGTCCTATCTAATCACTTTGCTCCTGGCTGAAATCCGACACCAGCTCATCGACAAGGAAGGCCAAAGATTGCAACTCATTGTAAATTTGGTCATAAGGAGGAGGTTGTTCCGTTGCCGTTGCTTGGTTGTCTAAAATGTAAAAAAAACCTAGAATAAGCCAAGATTCCTAAAAAACAAGAGCAAACGTGGCATCTTTAAGCATCTTTGATGTACTTATCAAATATGATGTACTTATTGGCCATGGAAAAGCCCAGGTAACAGGACCAGAAATCAAATAGACTATCTTCTGATTCATGAACGCTTTCGTAACTCCATACCATTCGCAACATCCTGGCAAGTCCATGCCAGGAGCAGACTGTGGAAGTGATCACGTCCCAGTGGTTGCCACAATGAGACTGAAACTTAAGAAACTGAAGAAAACAAAAACAGCTCCAAAACTACAAATGAACTTTCGGCAACAAAATCAAGATATCAAAGAAAAATATAAGATCCCTGTAGAAAATAAGTTTGACATGGTAGAACAACTCACTAATGCAGAAGAAATGTGGCAGATGATGAAAAACAGTATAAGTGAGGCCAATAGCGGCGCCAGCCACTAAGCTCTGGGGGGGACAAACCAAAAAAATTTAAGCCACGCCCTTTTAACCACCAGAAAACGCCATTTTACCAACAGGGAACGCCAATTTTATCCGAAGGGAACGCCTAAGACTAACCTTTGTTTGAAAATTGGCAGTTTGAAAATCATAGGATTACATTACAAAAAGTACGGTGTCAAAATATTACCCCTCCCCCAACATTTTCTCATCGAATTTGGACGAAATACAAAATCGGTTCTGCTGAGAACTGGGGAGAACGTGTCCCCCCAATCCCCCCGTGGCGCCGCTACTAAGTGAGGCTGCAAAAGAACAAATACCTGTCAAAAAGATTAAAGAAGACAAAAAATGGATGAAATCCTGGACCAGATAGAAAAGAGAAGGAAAGCAAAAGGTGATGTAAATAAATACAGAGAACTGGACAAAAAGAAGTTCAATGTAGCAAAGGAAGAATGGATCCTCGAATTGCCCCCCCCCCTCGAAAAAGCCCTCCCCTCGAATAAGCACCCACTCTAAAACTACAAACTGTCAATAAGCCCCCCCCCCCTCGAATAAGCCACCACTGCTACCATAAATTCTCGAATTGGACCCCTCAATTTGACGGTTTTTGCCATCTGAGGTTGCCTATGGCGTTTTATTGAATTACCACGACAAATTCGTATTTTTGGTAGTAATTAATTAAAAGCTCATAAAGAGATTCCTACTAAAGTCTTTTAATAATGTCTTCTTATTGTCTACAATAATTTTATAAGCCCCCCCTTCGTATAAGCCCCCGTCCAAAAATATCAAAGATAAATAAGCCCCCAAGGGGCTAATTTGAGGATTTACTGTATGCAGTAAAATTTGAAAGAAATCAAACATCGATAACAAACTCAGGCATAAAAAGATACAAGAAGTAACAAGAAAGAAGGTTTTAATGAAAACTGGCTGTCTTAAGTCTAAAAAAGGCGATATTCTAATAGAGAAAGAGTACATTCTAAACAGATGGTCTGAATATATCGAGAAGGCCTATCATGATGACAGAGGCCCACCATCTGAGATAAGTTATATAGATGAAAGTCCTGTAATTCTCGAAGATGAAGTACGCAATGCATTTCGAAATATGAAAGTGGTAAAGCACCGGGGCCTGATGACATCCCATCCGAATTGATAATTGTTTTAGAGGAAATGGGAATTAAGACGGTTACGGACACAGGAAACATCCCAGAAGGTCTATATACAGACCTGAAAAAGTCAATATACATTACAGTCCCAAAGAAACCGGATACAGTCCTCATCGCCGACTCTGAAGAAAAGTTGCAAAGAATATTGACTACAGTGGCAGAAGAAAGTGAAAAGAAAGGACTACATCTCAATGCAAAGAAGACAGAATGCATGGTAATTTCTAAAAAGGCCACTACACCAACCTGCAAGATTTCATGCAAAAGAAAGATCATTAGACAAGAGAAAAATTTTAAGTACTTAGGCCACACCATTACACCAGATGAGAAGAGTGGCACCGAAATCAAGAGGAGAATTGATATGTCCAAGTCCACATTTAACAATATGAAGTGCATATTCACAAACAGAAATATAAGCCTCTACACGAAAATCCGTACCCTGAGGACTTATATCTGGTCCGTCTTTCTCTATGGTAGGGAATGTTGGACTTTAACAAAAGACACAGAACGTCGGCTGGAAGCAGTGGAGATGTGGTATATCCGAAGAATCCTGAGGGTCTCATGGACAGAAAGAAAAACCAACGAAGGAGTAATGCAAATGGCTAAATAAAAGAGATCACTACTCAATACCATTAGAGAAAGACAGTTGAAATTCTTAGGACTTATAATAAGAGTGAACGGACTCGAAAAATGCTTATTACTGGGAAAAATCAACGGCAAGAAAAGCAGGGGAAGACAGCGTATTAAATTCATGGACAGCCTGAGCAAGTATACATGTACTAGGAACCACCAATACACGATAAATGAGCTCATAAGGTTGACTGAATGCAGGGAGGGATGGAGAGCCATGATCGTCGATGTCTGCAAGTCCACACTTGAAGAAGAGGAAGATGTACTTATAGATCATAGATATAGGCATTAGAGATCAAACCAAAGGCCTAGATTTAAGAAATATGGCTATTATAGGTTTTAACCCTATTTCACCAGCTGTTCCAACTCATTATAAACAAAAGAGTCAAACAGAAAAATTCACACCAGTGACAGTAAGAATACTTGTGAACCGTAATGGTACAAAAGTTGCCCGGGGACCGACCTATGTAGCAGTGATGATCCAGACCCCGTTTACACTGTCACGTGCAAGTTTGGAACCGTGACAAAAATATCGCGGTCGCCCTTCCGTATATAATAGCACTGTTGACCCGATACGATTTTGACCTGCTACCTGGAACAGTTTTGACCCTGCCATAAAAGCGAACGAATTTTGTACCGTCATGGTTCTATTTCTGAACGGGACAGTGTAAACGGTGGAATAAAAAAATTCAAATTTGGGGGGTCTCAACTAAGAAATGAAAATTGCCACATACCTGTACTATCTGGGACAATGGGCCATTCAAGAAAACGCCGTGCGTCTGGTCTGGCATTATATATCGCTTCATTGTGACAGGCATGTTCTGTTGTAAGCTCGTTCTCTTCTGTCGTGCGATCGGCAATGGACCGAGCCAATCCGTCAACTTCTTTGTATTTCTGGCCGTTGTTTTCTGCTGCAGGTGGATGAGAATGAACTAAGTCACTATAAGAAGAGAGGGAATCTGGGATGGGTGCATTTGGCGCAGTGGTTTCTACGTAAGGAGCATTGGGGTGAAAGAGAGCCTCAACAGAGACCGTATCAGTGAAAATGGGCACCCTTCTTCTACACTCGCTCACATCATATACTGAATCCAAAGTACAGCTTGTTTGTGCTGCGGTCCCGATAGCGGCAAAATCGCGCATATCGAATCGGCCACGATTCATAGCTAAGATGCTATCAGCAGATCCGTAGCAAGTGGTGCTGACATCAAGCGATGGTCTTCTTTGATCCGCTATATCTGTTTCCAAATCATTCCCAGCTGGTGGACTACCGGGAACCTCATCTTCTGTTTGGCCATTAGCGTTGTCTGTAGCAGTCCCGATATCGTTTGTATCCGTCCCAACATTTACAAGTCGGGAGTAAAGACGGTGTGGGCTGGATTGATTGCCTCCCCTTTTGTAGCGACAAAATAAAAGCAGCGGTATACAGATGGATGCGGCACAACAAGTTGCAAGCAAGACATATTGCCATAATGCGAAAGTTGACATCGTGGTAACTGAAAAGGCAAAAAATGATATTCATCCTTTAAAACTTCTAATATAATACCTCTATTTTGTAAGGGCGCAATTCGGAAGAAATATTGCAACTTTGAAGTACCATTGGCACTTGCAGATCACTTCAGAAAAGGTCGAGTCCCCATTTATCAAAACCCTCCTGATAAGTAGAGGCGGCATTGAAACAAAATATTGGAATTGTATTATATTTGCCTCATAAATGCATAGGTACACTTCAGTAACAAATACCAAACTCTTTATCAAGGCAACCGTGCCTGTAGCTCCTAGGGGCAGGGGACCGTGTCTTTCCCATATAGAATACACTCGAGTACGAGTCCTGGACAAAACAAGGTTGGTAGAAACATCCCAAATACCAGGAAAAGGGGGCTAAGAGGGGCAATAAAATTGAATCGAATTGAAAAAGTTCGAAATAAAGGGATTTTTGTTATAGTGGTTTTTTTAGATCAGGAAATTTTCAAGGGACCTGGGATTTTGTTCGACTTTCACGACTAAAAGTTCGATTTACACGAGTACATAGGAAATCTTGCCAAAACTCACTTAGTACATGTGAAATCTTGCCAAAACTCATTTCGTACTCATCAAAAATAGCCAAAGAGCGCTTGGTACAAATAAAAACTGGCTCAAACACACTTGGTACATATTTAAGTATAGCCAAAACGAACTTGGTACACATCAAATATAGTCAAAACGCACCTGGTACATATGACACAAAGCCAATAACAAATCCACGTGGTTCAGTGTAATAGGTATGTTTTTTTTTCCAGTTGATGATTAACTCAGAATATAATGCTTCATAAACAAATGGTGTGCATTTGCCACAGAAGCTCTGTTTTACCCGTTGAGTTGCATACAGCGAGGCTACACCTGCAAAAAACTGCAAATTTAAGACCCCGTTTACACGAGACCTGGACCAGATCGGATCCAAATGAAATGGCAAAGCGTTTACACGGGATCCGATCCAGAACTATTTGAGTTTACACGGGAACGGATCCAAATGAATTCTACAGGTTACGCTCATGCGCTTTTCAAAAATTGGCGCGCATATTACGTTTTCAGAACTTCATGCGTGATCAAAACACAGTTCAACCGGAACATGGAGGGAGGTAACGCTAAAAAGGGTGAATTTTCATGGACTGAAGAAGAAACTGCGCTACTTTTAAAAGTAGTATTGGGCTACAAAACTGTAAACAGGATTGGATTGGATCGGACAGGATTGGGAAAATATGAGGACAAAGTACGACGACATATCGTCAAAGTTTTGTAATAATTCTTCAACACAGTAGTCGATAACTTGATGTTCGGTTTTTTGGGCCAAAAAGCCACGGATTACATATTCAAACTACCTTGAATTGAAAAATATTCTGTCTCACTTTCGACAAATAACGTAGACGGATCCGATCTGGACCAGATCCACCTGTTTACACGGGATCCGGTCCAGATCGGATCCATACGGGATCACCTCTGAAAGCAATCCCAAAAGTGTTCGGATAGCGGATCCAAAAGTATACGGATCCATCAGTTCCCTTGTAAACGCAAGGCCTATCCGTACTCTTTTGGATCCGATCCGGTTCGAATCCGCCCTCGTGTAAACGGGGTCTAAGAAACTTTCAATTTCTCTTGGCGCTATTTCAGGAAACATTCATTTGTCTGTCGGAAATCAAGGGACAAAATAATTGTCAATAATTTGAAGAGAGGACAGTGGAAACTAATAGGAATTTTTCTGAAACATTTTTGGGAAAAATTTGGAGAAAATGGCTGGCAACATCAGCAGGAAAACCCTTCTTAAATTAGCCTCTTACATAATAAAATAAAACTGCCCTGTTGAAAAATTCCTGATGCTCTACGCAAAAAGCAAATATGTAGAAAAAAGCGAAGGAATCCTGGAACTTTGCTAACATGAAAAATAAATGAGATCAAAAGAAAATATAATTGAACGAAAAATAATAGGAGATAAGAAAATGATAGAAAAAAGTCAACTTGGGGGCGGGGGCCGCGGCCACGGAGTATATTACGGGGAAGGGGCTAAAACGTTAATCAAGGATTCAGCACTCTGAGGCCAGAAGAAAGGTGATTAATTGTGATCCGTGACTCCTACATGTGTTCGAAATAGGAAAGCCCCTTAGATGATTTACGAGCTCTTTAGAAAAGTGAAAGTAAATACTGTTGAATTGAAAAAATGAAAGAAATGCCAAGGATAAATTTGCTCGGTGCAGATAAACCATGAGATAAACCTGTCAATACATAACCCGTGTTCAACAGCAGTGGCAGCTTAGAAGATCAAGGTTCTTATAAATAACACTCCATCGTTGCTGAATTGAATCTGGATACGTATCTATGTCCTAAAAGGCTCTTTTATTTTGTTGTGCTATTGCTCACGAAGATTGCATTATAAATGCTTTACTAACCATACAAATTTATCCAAAACTTCAACTTCTTACCTTCTATAGACACAACATCACTTTTATAACAAGAATAATGGCAGAATGAGTAATATGAATTTGTATAAAGATCCATGATAGTAAATTTCACTGCCATTACACCATCCAGCTTTAATTTCCAAGCACAAGAGTCGATGTCTAAAATGTTGTATGTTTGTGGCCAATAAGAGCTATGAATGACACCAGACCCTTCCAAAAGTGTTCTGAAAAATGTTTGAAAAATTCGAGTAGATAATTTGAAAAAAAATTCATAGATTATATCAAAGATGAAAACTATGAAAAATTATGGGAAGAAAAGTCATTGCCACAGCACTCAGCAAAACCAAAATTTGTACAACGACTTTGTACAACGACTGTCTTTTTACGCTTAAGATCAGTATCGAATGGATACAAAACAACATAGGAACATTGCCTCATTAGATTCTACAGCCGCAAAAACAATAGCCGGTCTTAAAGGTATGGGTACAAAGAGTATGAAATTGATCGATACATTCTGCACAAAAAGAAAAGAGCATAAAAATTAGAATTCTAATCTCACATGAATAACGTGTTTAAAAACTTTTTCCATCTAAGTTTAAAAAATTACAGAAAGAATCTGTATTTGTGGAGCAAGAAAGAAGTCTGTGTGTAAAGCAAATAAAGCTTGCTCTGCTCGTGAGGGCTTATAAAGCTTACGGCTTTACGTCACTAGTTCTCAGTCTCCATTTCCTTAAATGCTTAGGGCCCGGCGAAAAGCTAATCTAAAAAGTTATCTATTAGCTAGGTATAAATAGCGTCGCTTGCCTCGAAAGTTTTTTTGTGAAATTGGTGTGTTTCTTGTTACAAAAGGTAAGAATTCCTTACAGAAACGTTCGATAAAATGATGGTAAAGAACTAATAAATGACTATGCGAGTGTGGGACTGTTCGTGTTGTCCAAAAGTTGGGTCTGATGAAGACATTTCGTCAACAGAAGGGTGTGGCAATGACGTAATGCTGACATTGAAGAGCATGTGGCTGGGCGTAAGTGCCTGCAAGTCATTTGCTTCAAAATATACGAAAGTGTAAGGACGATCATTCAATGGCCCATTGGTGTAACTTAGCCAGAGATATCAGTGATTAACAGTGAATTTTCTTCAGTAACGTTTAGTTTGTACAATGGACGCCCACCACTCCAATGAGGACCATGTGGGGGTGCCATGTGCCAGTATATGGCGGTTTGAGTAAAAGCACAGAGTTTCGGAGAGTTAAAGTAACTGCCATCAGTCTTTTTTCGGCACGTTTCAGCGTTTGAGCACTCGTTAAAATGAATCTAAGCGTCTTTTAAAAAACGCTGCAATGACGACGGAAGGGCCGTCAAATTTGTTAGAGAAAAAAATCTTTGTCAAGGTCTTTGACGTTTTCCTAACGTACCGCATTTTTGATGGTCACAGCACCACTTCGTTGAATAGACAGAGAGAGGACACGGGTATATACACAAACATCAAAGAATTTACACAAGAATACTGACAGCTATATGTTTGTCAAAAGGCAATTATATCTTTTCCGTAACCCTTGTATCTTTATACAACCTTTTCTTTGTCCACTTTGTTTACAGTCCAGATGAAAATCTCTACTAACATTCGCAACCTAACTAAAGATATAGAAGGTAAATAACAATGCCCCCTATAGTTGAAACTAAAATAAAACAAACAAAACACAAGTAACTTTGAAATCATAAAAATATTTGAATTTACCAGGAAAAATACCAGACTAGTTAAAGGACTTGGATCTCACAAGAAATTATTCAAGAAAGTCAATGAGGCTATGAAGAAGAAAATAAAATGATTTTATATGAACAAACCTGTTGCAGCTCTGTGTCCGGAGAGGTTTGTGTTTGGGTGTGGTTTTATAGAAAGCAGAAAAGCCTTTAGACGTTTTTGGTGCAGCACCTGGGTTGGCAAAGAAGTTCAATGTAAGACAGCTGTCCAAGGAATATATTGTGTGTGGCAATCCGGAGTTTCGAGAACAAAACTTGGTCAGGTACCGCCTGGAGAACTCACAACTAAAATATGAGAAAATATTACATAAAATAAATATTAAAGAAAGATATAAGCTAATTGTCAATTAAAAATTTTCACAATCATGTTAATAGAGATCTAACTGTTTACCCCTTATGAGCGACCTAAACAGGATTTTGGTATAGCCTTTGGTGCTACTGTATTATTTTTTGTAAAAATCAATGGGTAACCGTGCCTATCATGTTCCCATTGGCATCATCTTTATTTGTAAAATGTACTTTTTAGATTGAGTATAATAAATATTATGCCAAATATCATGATTGATAGCTTTGTTAAATTGACTGATACTTTTTGCTTTGCTGGATAGAAAAGTATAATCAGCATGCATTGGAACGTAAAATCCATGATAAGCTTTGGGATTCTCAATATCTCATGAAACTTCCTGAAACTTGCCCTACCATCCATTAAGAGCTCTCTTCTTGGCTTTTTACTCAGTAGGTCAATAGAAAAAGTCAGTTTCAAGGCTCCTGAAAACAGTGATGGTGTCATCTAGAAAACAGGGGTGGTGCCCTCCAGAAAACAGGGGTGGTGCCATCCAGAAAACAAGGGTGGTGCCATCCAGAAAACAGGGGTGGTGCCATCCAGAAAACAGGGGTGGTGCCATCCAGAAAACATGTGAGGTGGACATGGGATCAGGGATCTTGCCCAGAAATTTGCTAGATGCCACATCCTCATAAAGGCTGGAAATACATATTTAAGTGAAAAGATAGTTAAGAAATAGTAGTTATTTTGTCTATAGCTTTATTATCAAAGTATGCTCTTTATGTGCTTTAAAGTGAAAGTTACTGACAACCCGATGTTTGAGATTTATCCATATGATACTATCAAACTCTGTTTTATCTGCCATGTGTACTCATGACACCAGCATATGCCACCAATGGTATGACATGACCCAACTGAAGGCAACTATAGATAATGCTTGAAAAAAATGGAAACTATATGCCAAAAAACTTTTCTTGAATGTTGCAAAAACCAAAAAAAACCTTAAGGACTGAAATCTTAAGGACAGGGAGGAGCATCTACAATGAAATTTCATGATGATAGATTTAGTTTAATGTTAGATCAAAATTCAGATTAAATGAAATAAAAATAACATAAGGAAGGTTCTTCCCATAATTAGAAAGAGGAGAGACCCAAGAAATGAACTCAACTGTGGGATCTCAATGCCTCAACCTTTCATATTCCTGAGTATACACCCAGGGTCCCAACGCAAAATTTGTTGGGGCCATGCCCTGTTTTTATTCCTGAAATCGCCCTTGCTATGAAATCGAAGGCTAAAATAGGCTTTATACATTGCTTTGTAGGGTGGTGAAAATGTTTGTCTTTTCTAAATCTTTCTCGTGAATGGCAATTAAAGTGAGTCAACTTTGGAGCCCCACTATCCTCGATATATTTCTATTCAAACTTTTACTTGTTATTTTCAAAACCTTTATAGTACAGCGTCAAAACAATTTTGACAGAACCACTCTGCAAGCCTGAGTTCAAGATTGTCTAAAAGATGTTTTAAACAACACAGAATTAATTTCAAATACTTTCATATTTAAGGTCAGGCCTTTTGGACCCCTTACAAGAAAAAGCCTTACCTTGAATGATGCATTACTATTAAAAAAGAAAAACACCTTTGTTTTGAGCAAAGGCCCTGGGGTACTGAGTCTGAGTGGTATGAGTTTGATCTTGAGCTAATTATAGCTTATCTTGGTAATGAATAGCTCTAATTTGCCTTTAGACTCTTTCAAGATACAAATGGACAGACCGTGTTGAGATTTTCTATCGCCTAGATTATAATTAAATTTTGATATCTCCTGGTACTGACCTACACATGCACATGAAAGTAGAATTTTGACTATTGCATAAATGCAGTGGTGAAGATAAAGGGGGGCCAGAGGGGGAAAAAACCCCTGTAAGGCTAAACTGTTGTTTTGTTGGAATCTTCTGATCTTGAAAGAAATTTATCGTATGGTTGTCCATTTTTTTGTAATCGAGTTACATTTTGAGAGAAAAGATTTTACAGCTGATAGTGGTGATTTCTTCTGTTGTTCTGAATCAAATTGGCAATCTTTTTCTACAAGATAGTACTTAAAACATCTTTTTCAGTGAAAATAACAAGAAAAATCTTCAAGTACCATAAAAGCTCTATTAAGCCCTCCTCTCTATTAAGCCCCCTCTCTATTAAATTCCCCTTACCAAGTCAAAATTTAAACCCCCCTTTCTAGTGTTGAAAAAATAAATATGCCCCTGGGGCTTAATAGAGATTTTATTGCAATATGATTATGACACGTGATTTATGTGTTGTTATGTCCAAATTTTTCAAAAAAGCTCTTAGATATAAAATTTTCTTGCCCCTCCTACGAATTTTTCTATCTATGCCACTGCATACATGCATACTTTTATCCCTAGCATGTGTCTAGGAGTTTGTCTCAACAGCTGTGTCCAAGATTATACAATCATCACAAAAAGCAGCTTTAATGCTCCTAGCAAACTAATTGTCAGTTTTCTTCAATCAAGACCATAGAAATTTGAAACACTGAATGATGAAGGTGAAAGCATTTGTATTTGAAATTTTCATGAATGGGACGGTACCCCTAATACTTGTGTGAACTTTTTAATCTCATCTATCTTATTTTAGCTGCAGGCCCCTTCGTTGGTATCAGGGGTAATAGTGGTAAGTAGGTTAGTGGTGCTTCTTAAGTTGAAAATTAACAATTATACTAAAGAAAACTGATTAGCACTGCTGGATTGATCATATTTACATGATACCTTTTGTTGGTTTCAAGTCCCATCAGATTAATGTATTTACATGATCCTGAAAAATGCATCTGCAAATGGACAAGAGAACCATTCGATGGCATGGCATTAGAACTAAAAACCTGAAGAAAAAGTCTGTTGATAACATACCCGACGTATACCTCAACAAAGTCCTCCGAGTAAGACGAATTACAACCAGGCATATCTCCATCCACATCAAATTCATTCCAGCGAAGCTCGATTCTTAAGTTTTCTGCGACGACTATATGGTACGAACAGAAGACATTTAAAGGGTTAGGGTTTGGTCCGCTATTTAGCGAGCGACATTCGATTAGACATTCAGTTAGACATTCGAGTATACATTCGGACTTTGATTGCTTCTTACAAAAAAACCATAAGATATAATAAAAAGATATTTCATAGTGGGAAACTTGGCTGGATTCTCTGTCGATTCGTGTATCTTGTTTATATTAAGACGCGCTATGCTTTAAAGGGAAGGCAAAACATCGAAAATTTTTGTACACGGCCTAAATGTTCGCGTAAAATAGACATTCGCAGTAACGCGATCCATGTCATAAGGAGAAAATCCACGCCAAAAGGAGAAAGAAAACACAGACCAATCAAAATCAAACGTGATTAATCGCAATCGGTAGAAAAAAGCAGCTTCTACCACCTAAGCCAATCAGAAGTCTGCATTTTCCCAAAAAATCGCATGACAGTGATATTGGCGCTAATCCTGATGACAGCGCATGGACGGGTGATAATCCTGCTTGATGCCTTTGATATTCCGCCTTCGCGGCAAAACACTGCATGCAACACAAAAAGCGTTTTTGACTTTTTCTACAGGACTTCGGGCGTGCTCTCGCGACACTTGCTATGCAGAGGGGAGGGGTTTTTGGGTGGTAGTCGCCCCACTTTCATGAAAAATCGGAATGTTTCGGTGAAACAAATCCTATGTTAGTAAACGCTTTATGTTAATTCCATGAAATTATTAAAAAACTTATATTGGAAATTTCGATTATAAAACGAAATGAGGCATTACCTGGTTACTGTAAGGTTAGCAGCAATCTCAACTCCTTTCTGTCCTTTGTATGAGCTTTAGGCTTTGCACCACATTAACCAAACCGTTTTCGCGCCAAATCCCATGCACGTGTCTGCAGTCTTCCCGCGACAATTTTCGCTATTTGGCATTGAAAATCTTGTAAATATTATTTAACAAATAATCCGATGGTTGGTATGGTCCTTCCTGTAAGTTACTCATGTTTTCCTTGGTGTTTTGTGAGAATTAACATGATGTGAATTGCTGTTACCATCGATCGCATGGTGTAGCCTGCGACACAGACCAAATCGAATGCATTCGATTTGGTCTGTGTCGCAGGCTACACCATGCTATCGCGGCTGGCAGCATGTTGAACAATCGGCCATTGATCATTGATGGCTGTTGACAGCTAAACAGCTTTGAAAAAAAAAACGGAGACACCGTTGTGTATCCTCCGCTGGCTACGGTTGCCTTGAATCCAGGCGAGAAAAATTGCGAAGAGCCCCGTCTACGAACTAGGGTCAAAGTTAGAGTCCTGCTATAAAGGGACGTAAAAACGTAGAAGAACACTTAAAAGGACTTCAAGAAATGAAAATTTTTTGAAAACATAGAAGAATATTAATGATCAAATATTGTATAGTTATTATTCTTGTGAACATTTATATACGGGAAAAATTGTTTTTCTAACTTTCGAAAAGATCAAAAGTGTACCCTGAGCATCTCTATAATGGGTTTTCCAAAGTAAGAACCGTTTCAATTTAGTTTTCATTATATAATTTACACTTTGAAGAAATGTTAAAGTCAAAAAAACTGTGGTCTAATTTGCTAGTCCTTTTAGTTTTACACTAACTTGTGACAATAACAAGCTCTTCCTGCAAAAGGCTATTGAATACCAAGGACAGCGGTTTATATCACAGATTGGAGGAGCTAAAGCGTTTTTTTAGGGAGGGGGGGAGGGGGCTAAAGATGCTAAAAACTAAGAGCAGATTGGGGCCAACTTTTTGTATGGTTTTAAATATAATTTGGGAATTATTGGGGGGCTATTTAATTTTTTCTTAAATTAGAATGAGCATTTTCAGTTACGTTCGCTAGTGGTAATTATCATGACATCTAGGGAAATTTTGGCATTTGTGTGCCGTATTTTTTGGAAAACTTTTGTGGGTCAGGGTATGCTTTTGGCAAATTTTTATATGACAGGGTTAGGGTGCAAAAAGGTTTCCCGCACAGCCCCCTTGTCATTTTCCTAGTCAGGTCCCCCCACCCTCTGGGAATCTATCTATGTGATATATGCTAGCCCTGCTATATCCGGGTTCATAATTTGCAGGAGTACAGAATTTTGATTTGTTTTATTAGCTTTTGGAAGATTTCTAGACTGTTGACATTTCTTACTTCGGCGGGTATATCATTCACAACATCTGGATTTTGGTTACTGTTAGTGGATCCGAGTTATTTTTCAGCAGTTTTATTACTCTTTTTACAAAAACAATTATTTAAGAACACGAGCCTCAAAATTTGTCAAATGTCAAGAACAATAATGTGAAATCACCCTTAAAAAATTTATATAAAAAGGAAGAGTTTTTTGCCATCTAGGGGTGCTTTTTGGGTGAACTTTCAAACTTGTCAGCAAATAACGCCTGTCGCACCAATTTTGTTGGCAAATGAGGCCTGAACTCCGCATAATTCAAGAAATAATTTAGAACAATCCTGGAGCAAATTTTCGAAAAAATTAAAAACATCCAGGCTGAATTTCAATTTGCCGGTTCTTAAGGAAAGTTTTTTTTATTTATAGATATCTAGACCGAGATCCGATTTTACAAGGCATTGTCATATTTTAGAAACACGGCACGACTACTGTAAAATGTGGCCAGAGAATGGCTTTTAAACATCACAAAGTCATTTTCAGATAGACTAACAAAAGTTTGGCATCTGGCAAATGATCTTCCCACTTACAATTATGGTGCAAAAAGTGTGAACGGGAGAGGGTCAGAAAATATTTTTGGGTGCTCTTCGTGGCTATGAATCCCCTTCTCGGGGTTTTCCAGTATAACTGTGTTTTCAAGGCATCGAGAAAGCTTCCTTGCAATAATGGAGTGGAAATTGCAATAGAATGACGTCATAAAAATATTTTTCTATAAATTTCGAATTCTGATCACATAACCTGAAAAAGCATCGTAAAATACCTCTAAATATGAAAAATCAGTTAAAAGTGTTACGAATTGACAGAGTTATGGTCAGATGAGCACAGGCTCTTGCCCCATCAAACCTCTTTAAGTTGGTCTCTGTTCATAAACTTTATGAGCAGAGCCAAAATAACGGTGATCCGTTAGCAAATTTCAAATCTTTCATTTGCTATATCTCATTCAGTTTTTGACTCATTGGCCTGATTTTGCATATCTAGAAGGAATTGATAGAGTTCTTCTATGTTCTTTGATCAAAATTCAAAAATTATAAAAATAGTTTTCTTGTGACGTAACACTTAGAACTCAATGCCGTTAATAGTCGTGCCACAGATGTTGCGAGCGCTTGGATACGCCGACGAAAGACACTTGGATACCGTCTTGCTACGCTTTAATCAGTGAATTAGTCGTGAAGATTTAGAAAGTTTAACAGCAAAGTTAAAAACAAGTCAAGGGCTTTATCAGGGGCGGACACTTGGTGAAATATTGGGGGGGGGCAAGCCTATTGTTTTGATAAGATGAAATCACATTTCCCAATGTCTTAGAACAAAAGACCACTGTTCTCCAAGGTATTGGGGGCGACCGCCATCGAAAACCTTAATTTTTTGTCTCTGTTTATAACCTACCATAACATAACCTGTTTGGCAGATTTAAAAGTATTTCATGTTGTCCTTTCAGGTTATATGGTCAATTTTCAAAAATTCTAAAAATTGTTTTTTTTTTGTGAAATGAGGCTTTGCTTGTTATGGCAGTTCAGGTCTTTTGGGTGGGCGCTAAATATCTTGAACTCAGTTGACTAACTTCACGCTCAATTGAACCTTAGGCGAGACAAGTAATAAATGTCAAGAAAACTTGATTGGACATTAGCTTTGTATCTAGAATTATCTTAATATTTAAGAAGCAAAGCCTCATTTCATAAGAAACAAATTTTACACAGGACCTCAATTTATCAATTTTGCGACATTAAAATTTAGAAACACTTCAAAAACAATGTGAGCTGAACATTTGAGCAGAGTTTAGAGCCTGCAAAACTCAATCGTTATTAAGATCTTTGTTTCTTAAATAAAAAGAGTGTATTCATTTAAGCAACACAATCGGTATTGGATCAGTTGCAACAGACTTTGAACATACCGTAAATCCTCGAATTGGCCCCCTCCCCCTCTAATAAGCCCCCGCCCTATTACTACAAATTGTCAATAAGCCCCCCCTCCCTCGAATAAGCCCCCACTGCTACCGTAAATTCTCTAATTGGACCCCTCAATTTGATGAGTTTTGCCGTCTTGGGTTGCCTATGGCGTTTTATTGAATTACCACAACAAATTCATACTTTCGGTAGTAATTGTTTTCTTAATGTCAACAATGATTCTTTAAGCCCCCCTCGTATAAGCCCCCCAGGAATAGTGAGGCTTTGCTTCTTAAATATTAAGATAATTCTAGATACAAAGCTAATGTCCAATCAAGTTTTCTTGACATTTATTACTTGTCTCGCCTAAGGTTCAATTGAGCGTGAAGTTAGTCAACTGAGTTCAAGATATTTAGCGCCCACCCAAAAGACCTGAACTGCCATAACAAGCAAAGCCTCATTTCACAAAAAAAAAACAATTTTTAGAATTTTTGAAAATTGACCATATAACCTGAAAGGACAACATGAAATACTTTTAAATCTGCCAAACAGGTTATGTTATGGTAGGTTATAAACAGAGACAAAAAATTAAGGTTTTCGATGGCGGTCGCCCCCAATACCTTGGAGAACAGTGGTCTTTTGTTCTAAGACATTGGGAAATGTGATTTCATCTTATTAAAACAATAGGCTTGCCCCCCCCCCAATATTTCACCAAGTGTCCGCCCCTGATAAAGCCCTTGACCTGTTTTTAACTTTGCTGTTAAACTTTCTAAATCTTCACGACTAATCCACTGATTAAAGCGTAGCAAGACCGTATCCAAGTGTCTTTCGTCGGCGTATCCAAGCGCTCGCAACATCTGTGGCACGACTATTAACGGCATTGAGTTCTAAGTGTTACGTCACAAGAAAACTATTTTTATAATTTTTGAATTTTGATCAAAGAACATAGAAGAACTCTATCAATTACTTCTAAATATGCAAAATCAGGCCAATGAGTCAAAAACTGAATGAGATATAGCAAATGAAAGATTTGAAATTTGCTAACGGATCACCGTTATTTTGGCTCTGTTCATAAAGTTTATGAACAGAGACCAACTTAAAGAGGTTTGATGGGGCAAGAGCCTGTGCTCATCTGACCATAACT